AATGACGAGGAGTTGAACAAACTGCTCGCCGGTGTCACCATCGCACAGGGAGGTGTTCTTCCCAACATCCAGGCTGTACTTCTGCCCAAGAAGACCGAGAAGAAAGCCAAAGCTTAAATAAGCTTTGACTCACAAACAAACGGCTCCTTTAGGAGCCACCAAATGTTAGAAAAGTCACGATCAACTAAACTGTTTGTAACACTTTTAAGTTTATTTTCTTTAGCTAAATCGGCCGTGCTTATATCAGAACCAAGCCCCAATGATCAAGTATTCGTTTTGCGAGTCATTTAGTTGTTGCGTTCGCATTAGAACACTAATATAAGTCTGACTTAGGTTCACGCGGGTGATTTTTCACCCGCGTGAACCGCTAAGTCATAAATGCGCGATTTCTGTCTTAGTGTCGGCAAACTCAAACGATCTAAGCATGACTGAGGGCTTGCTTAACTGAGAAACCTGATAGCAAAAAAATTTCAAAAGCGCGGAGTTTTATCAGATAGAGATTCCCGCGTTAGGCACATAAACCAAAACAAAACCTAACTTAAAGAAATTTAAGACGTAACTCACAGTTTTGCAAGGGAAGAATTTGTCTTCTAATGTCTGAACGCTCAAGCAGACTTCGGGTGACTTGGCTTGACTTAGGCTAAGACAGACAGTGTGTGAACCCAAGTACTAGTGAGCCATATGGAGTTAGATCCTCAGTTCCTTATGAGGGTGTGCCGTTTTTTCGCAGATTAGTTGCTTTCAGGCCAAAAATCTTTCACTCTTTTCAGTTTTCTACGCCAGGACACCCAAGCTAAACAAATGCAAATTTTACTTAGTCTTAATTCTTTTATCATGCTAATATCTATATTCATGCAGCAATGCGCACACAACACTCTAACGTGTAACAGTCACAACGGTCTACCTAAATTTTTTCCTCCGAGATATAAGTGGCTCATTTGTAACGACTGTTTGGATTCTTTCTTCAGTAGACTGATAGACTGCGAGCAGTCTATTGCTGGAAAAAAAAACGCAAAACAAGTGAGCGTTCGAGCGTGATATACGAGAGGAGTAGCCTCGAGTAGCGCACGCTAACGACCGCTCACTTCTTTGCGTTCTGCCTAACGGATTTTCGAGCAAAATAGACTGCTCGGAGTAGACTATCTTTTGCCCAATTCAGTCTGCGCGTAATTACGGTATAAAGAACCTTTTATGTTACGGGGAGTTTGGTTGTAATTGTGACAGGAGAATATTTTACAATGTAATAATCAAACGCGCATCGAGTACTCAAGTGAACTATCTTTCGATGTGACTGAAAAACTTTTCTTTCCGTGCGACGGTCTATGTTGGTCATGACTTTTGAGAGATTTGGTGGCTCCTAAAGGAGCCGTTTGTTTGCGTTGGCAGACTGTGCAGTCTAACCGCCAAATCCGTACAGAGTACGGCCTTGTCGTTTCAGAGCGTACACCACATCCATGGCTGTCACAGTCTTTCTCTTGGCGTGYTCRGTGTATGTCACAGCATCACGGATCACGTTCTCAAGGAAAACTTTGAGAACACCACGAGTCTCCTCGTAGATCAGGCCAGAGATTCGCTTAACACCGCCACGGCGAGCAAGACGACGGATGGCTGGCTTGGTGATGCCTTGGATGTTATCACGAAGGATCTTTCGGTGACGCTTGGCGCCTCCTTTTCCTAGACCTTTGCCTCCTTTACCGCGACCAGACATGTTGACTACTACTCATGTAACTGTATTAGCCCGGTTTGTCTCCGTTCTTATTTTTTCCATGTTAAAGGAGGACCTCTCGGAAAACATAATACCTTTTCTCCTATTGGATAAGAAAAGACAACAGAGCAAAGGGTCAGATTAACAGACTCATCCATTATTAGCAAATTCACACAGATCTTTCTGTACAGAGAAAATGTCTTTGCCAATGAGAAAATTTCATTCTAACCCTAACACGACCTAACATTGGAAATTTTATAATTATTTCAACCTTTTGAAACGATTTCATCGTACCAATGCAATCTTTCATGCCTTATAAAACCTTCAATTCTACCTTGGATCGAAATATTCTCACAGAACCGTGAAATGATCTACGGTTATCGAAACGAACCAATGAAATCTTATAGTTTTCGACCAATCAAGAAGCGTCCCGCCAAGTATAAATCGCTTGATAAATTATGAGTTGCTATTTATCGTTAAAACGCGATCGCTCTCGGTTATGGCTCGTACAAAGCAAACTGCTCGTAAATCAACCGGTGGAAAAGCTCCACGAAAACAGCTCGCAACAAAGGCAGCTCGTAAGAGCGCTCCTGCGACCGGTGGAGTCAAGAAACCTCATCGTTACAGGCCTGGTACGGTCGCTCTTCGAGAGATCCGTCGATACCAGAAATCCACCGAGCTGCTGATCCGCAAGCTGCCATTCCAGCGTCTCGTGCGAGAAATCGCTCAAGATTTTAAGACCGATCTGCGTTTCCAGAGCTCCGCTGTCATGGCTCTTCAAGAAGCTAGCGAGGCTTACCTTGTTGGTATGTTTGAAGACACAAACTTGTGCGCCATACACGCCAAGCGCGTCACCATCATGCCCAAGGACATTCAGTTGGCCCGCCGAATCCGTGGAGAGCGAGCATAAGGTGGACAGTACAGTCCTTCACAAAACATGGAGCCACCACATGAGTAAAAGCAATGACCGACACGTACAAATGAAATCACAGACGCTTTCATTTCAATAACTTTTGTCTTCGAAGTTGAAACCGAACGTGAAATGTTTAGTCTGTTGTTATAACACCAAAATATGAATCCCCTTGTCCAGTTTTTATTTGGCAGTAGCACTTATTTAGTAAAATGTTGAAGAAATGGACTGATAAAATCGTTTTGCACACAAAGTCTCCAGACACCATATTCCGCCATTTTGTTTACAATCAACGGTGCCAACTTGAACTTTGTGTATGATTCGACATTTCCCCCTTGAAATTCTTCCCTGAATGTTACATTGACACGAAAATAACAGGGTTTTACGTCGGATCATACCCTTTTCAAATTTCTTGATCTAACAATCGTTTTCTTCAATAAATTTTAGCGCCACGTTCCCTGAAGGTTCCAGTGGATACGGTCTAATAGGGACTATTAACAGGGCTAGGTAAATTTACTAGTATATTACTATTAAGACGGTCTTTCGTTCGAGTTTATATTGCGTTTTTGAACTTCAGGGCATATAACCTGACTCTGGCGCTTTGGTAAGATAATATATGCAAATGTTTCCCCGCTGGCGCGTTTTGAGAAATTCGGAAAGTGAGAAATTTTCAGCTTTATCTTTCGTCATATCATTGATTTCTACAGATCTAGAAATGTAAAATCACTTGTGTAAGCACTTTTAAGACCATACAAACGTTAGGAGCGAAACTAGAACAGCCCTGGTGGGCATCTCGGTTACTTACTTACTAACTAAATCTGCTCGAAGTCTAAACCAACAACGACGTGTTTTGTTGAAATTCTGTTTTTGTAGTTAAGTGGATCACTGAATCTCTACATCAAATTTATAGCCTGTAAATCACAATTCTCAGCAGTTTTTCTCATCTCTAATGGCTGGTATGCCCCTGATAAACCTCTGGGCTTCAACAAGTCGGAATCAGTCAATAAACTGACGGGTTCAGAAGTTTGTACTTGTTGGGCAGAGAAAAGTGAAGTTTAGCCACCGAAAATCAGTAAGGAGGTCCAATTTTCTAATTGCTATTTAAACTTAAGGCGTTGGTCTTTATTGAACTATTCGAGATTTTGAAGAGTAGTGACTCTAACAAAGGCTAATTTGTTGTTAATACAAAACTTTGTTTAGGATCTTCTTGCTTTACAAACTTCAAAACTTTGAGTTCCACTCTTTGCCAATCTTTGTCCAAATATATTTTTGCTTTTCAACCTTGCAAATATCACAGGTACCAATTTTTAAAGTTAAGTAAAGTAAAACTCTTTAGAATACGATTTTATCTTACAAAACGTCGACTAAAGTAGCACAACATTTGAGGACGCCATCTTCGATACCTTGTTTCCTCGGTGGTCCGCATTCGGCAAATATCTTCTACTTCCACGCGAATAAGTTTATTTCGAGTCTTCAGTTCCGAAGTGATTTTAAGGTTGCAACATGTCCGCACCAGCAAAATCCCCAGTCAAAAAGAAGCCAACAGCGCCTAAAAAGCCAGCTGATCATCCACCTTATTTGGATATGATCAAGGCTGCCATTTTAGCGCTGAAGGAGCGAAGCGGTTCTTCCCGCCAAGCCATCGAGAAATACATCAAAGCCAACTACAAGGTTGGTGAGGTTGGCTCGCACTTGAAGATAGCTTTGAAGAGAGGCGCCGCAAGCGGCAAGCTTGTGCACACCAAGGGAGTTGGTGCTTCAGGCTCCTTCAAGTTGCCCAAGGAGGAAAAGAAGGAGAAGAAACCGAAGAAGAAGCCCGCCGCCAAGCCAAAGAAGCCCGCCACCAAGAAGGCAGCGAAGAAACCAGCGGCAAAGAAGGCTGCAAAGAAACCAGCGGCGAAAAAGCCAACAGCAAAGAAACCCGCAGCTAAGAAACCGGCAGCAAAGAAGCCCGCAGCTAAAAAACCCGCCAAGAAAGCGGCCAAGAAACCCGCGGCAAAGAAGCCCGCCAAGAAGCCTGCCGCCAAGAAAACGGCTAAGAAGTGAAGTGCGACGATCCTTCAATAAACAAAACGGCTCCTTTAGGAGCCACCACATACAAAAAAGGAATTATCAACGAATATATTGAACAAATATCATTATTTCCGAGTTGGTTTGTTCGAAAGTTTGAAATCAATTACCGTGAGAGCTCTGATTACAAGTCCTGCCCGACTCTCACCCATTTCTCTTATTTTATTCATTCGTTGATAATGTTATTACAATCCATTCAGATTCTTTTCGGGGTGACTTGGGCAGCTTCAATAACTTCAAATACCACATAGAGAGTTTTCTCAGCGTGACAGAAAATGCTAGGGTGAATGGAGTAAATTGCTTCGAGCTGATCATTGTTTTTAGACTGCTTCTAGTGCAGGAGTCAACAGTGGTATACTAATTGAGCAAATATACAAAAATTATGTCATTTTCAATCATTCAGAAAATGATTTTGTTTCAGTATTGCAAACAGAGGTCATCTAAAGCTCATAAATGTATCACAGCACAGTAAATGTAATAAAATAGTCTGCACTTTTAAGGGTTGACTAATACGAGACAGAGAAACCTTTTGAGTAAAACTGACAAAAGGCTCCGTGATCGGTTCTGTTTCAGCAGACAATTCCAATCCAAACATAACACACTGTAATAATTAATACACCAAATGCACACACTCCCAAGTCTTTTATTATAGTTCTTATTCATACAACTAGTCGAGCATTTTGAAGTTACAGTGTTACTACTTACTAATCTCATATCTGTGTTATTTTATGGTAGTAGTTTGTCTCACAATTCAGAGACTAAAGGAATGACACTTATAGCCTGTTATCACTAGACGATACTCTTTTTTCTGATAATTGCAAAATGTAGTATGTTAATAATTTTACATTCATTCTGACTATTCTTTGCATAAACCAACCAATCATGACCAATTACCAGCATACCAAACTAATTACTACAGGTTACAACTACCACAATGCAATCAATTTTCTATTCCCTAATGTTGATTCAATTTTTGTTCAAGAAGCAGGTGATGAGAAAACTTCAAAATTTATAAATTATAACTAAAAAATATTTTCTTGATGTATAATTTTGTCAAACCAGAATATCATATCCAGACAAATTTAATTCACCATTCCATGTGTCCTGAGAGATTTCAATTCACCAAACTCAATCCTACCACCCCAAAAATATTTTACACTGAAATGAAAGCCAATAGTTTATGTATTTTCTGCAGCCAGTTTATAAGAAAGAAAATGAACCCAGAATATTCTTATTGCTTGAAGAAATTCTCAGCAAGATAATCTTTAACTTTGGGCCATATTACATTTGTTTCCGTCCCAGAAAACGACTTCAGTGTCCCCTGTTTCCTGTAAAATATAATGAAATCCAGTTACAAATGTTAATGAAAACACCACAGAATGAAAAGGTACCTAGTCACTAATATTAATATCCAATCCTTGACCATCCAATCACGTTTTTGAAGCATTAAGTAGACTTGCAGCAGTTTTACTTTCAATAAGATATGAACCAGGTGGCTGCCTTGGTTATTGAGAGGTCCGAATTCAAGCCCTCAGGCTGGGGACATCACATTGTGTTCTGGGGCAAGACATCCACTATACTCTCACAGTGCTCCTCTCCACCATGGTGTATAAATGGTTACTGGAGAATTTAATGCATGGGGGTAACCCTGTGATAGACTAGCATCCCATCCGGGGGGGAGTAGAAATACTCCTAGTCGTTTCATGCTACTGATAACCAACAATAAGTGCCAGCCTGATGGGCCATTTGCCTCATATGATTTCTTTCCTATATCTGCAAAGGTCTCTTGAGAGAATCATACCTGTAGCCATTTGCACACATTGCAGGCCTATTATTCTAGGTCATATTATCTTGCCATTACAGGCAAGGAAATCTTGTAGAGGTTAGGCTATTCAGATATAACTAACTATTGGCCGGCAACATAGGCATGCAATACGTGCAGAGTCTATACATCATCATGTTGTTCCAGAAAATATCCACCCCTCCATGGAGGGTTTAGTTTTGGTTTGCACTGCCCCCTGCCCAACCTCATCCATCTGGAAATTCCAGTCTTGGTTCATGCTTTCCTTTGGTTTTTGAAACCCTCATCCTCCTTGGAATTTCAAATAACCCTCCTTGGAGTGAGTATGGATATTTTCTGGAACCACACAATGCACAAACTTTGTCCTAAACATTTGTACTTACAAATAAAAATCAATTAAAGGTTTTGTCATGTCTTCATATTGCTTTAGTCTCTGTCGCACAGTCTCTGGCTGCATTAAGAGAAAAATTCAATAATGTTGAGTTGATGTTGGAATTCTACATCTGCAAAAATTACCTGATGAAGAATATAAATTGAAAACTTAAAAGTTTTAACTTAAAATTTATCAATAACAATACAATACAAGGTATGATCATGACAAAGAAAATACATACAAAACTCCAGGAACTAATTATTTTAAGAAATTTTGAGGTGAGGGGTTTATATTAAATTAGTACTCATGGTAACACAAAATTTCCTTGCTTTGAGGGGAGAAAGATTCAGAGTAACATGATCAAAGTACTTAAATTTCAGATGATTTTTTTGTGATATTTCTTAGAAAAGTAAACAATATGATGACCACTAATTAAAGAAAATTGGAACAAAGAGGGCCAAAATTTTAATTTGCTTTTGAGACTAAATACAACAAACATCAGACCTTGTCATCATCTCGTTGAACAAGATCTTCTCCGGTGTCGTCATCTTTTCCCTGCCAACAAAAATAAGTAGGCTAGTGTGTTTAATTGAAAGCTGTTCATGCATTTTGTTCACAGGAAAGACATTTTTCTTGCGCAATTCTCTCTACCTAGGGCCAGGCATAATTCTGATAAAATACCAAAGGGGAGGGGTAGAAGGAAAAAGAACTCTCTGTGCTGAAAAAAGCAAGGTCCCAGAGTGAAGGTGGGTCCTTTCTTGCTCCAAAATCGGAGAATGTACCACTAGCACTACCATATTGTAGCATTAAGAGAAAGATGTAGGAATCAGTAAAAACATTAGCTGAAACACTCATTAAACATCTTACTCAGTCATAAACACACACAGAATTCAGTACATTAAATATTGTCCACTTACTGGTACTTTAGGTGGGTTGAAATCCAAGTTGTAAGTCTTACCACTAGCTGGATGAATCCAACGTTTCTTCAAAACGAAAAATTATCAGTTCAGAACAGTTACTCTCTCTTGACTACTCTGCAATTTTTTTTCTAAGGGGGGGGGGGGGGGGAAGAGCCAAGGGACTGAACTTTAGTTCCTTCCATGGGTAGTCTTGTAGTTGAATTACTGGTTATTAACTGGTCACCAATTGCAGTGAATGACAAGAGTAATCAAATTAAACTTACTGAAATTCTATCAATAATTGTCTCAAAAGGAACATCTAAGTTAATGACGACATCAAGCTGCTGTCGTTCTCCAAGCTTTTCAGCCTGCATTACAGTCCTTGGAAAACCTGTAAATAAATTTACATTCACTGGTGTCAGTGATAATTACATTGCTATCACTACTAGTCACAACATCACTAACTTAATTTTGCATCAACTAGATTGTTTTAACTGATTGTTACCAATGATCTATTATTTTCTCAATGTTCATAAATTCATTTTACCTGATGCAAAATATAAAAGAAAACATCAATTCAACTGAACAAAGAACTATAAATCCTACTGTTAGAATTGATCAACACTCCATGCCTTCACAAATGTTCTACTGAGATATTATGCCCTACATCTTACAACTTAAGGCAGCTGTTATCGTTTACAATTAGAAAACAACCGGAAAAGTTACAACTAAATGCAAAATAGAACACATTTCACCTTTATCAAAACACATCTGGTAAAAATTGATCATTGCAGGAGTTGGAAATAATATTTCTTTCGAACAGACAACAGGTCTGTTGCATTCCTTGCACTCCTCACGATATGCACTTTTCTTACAAATTATTCTTCAGTCTTAAAATTCATCCGTCTGCTTTTCACTGTAAATTATGTGCCGTTTAAAAACAACTTAGCAGCTGACTTGAAAAATTCAGCTCTCTCTCAGAAGAAATACGAAGGTGTATTTGTCAGCTAAATAACATTTCCGTTCGCTATATTTGATTTTGAACCAACCCCGCCCAGATATCGGGAGTACCTTTGCAAAGATTGTGTAAATATGTGTACATACACGTTCATGAACTTCATGTGTACTATACCACTGCAAAATATGATTGCATTGTTCGCACCTCACATACCATCTAATAGCCAGCTCCCTCCAGCTAATTCCTTCATTTTGTTCATTATAAGTTCTATCATGATTTCGTCAGGCACGAGTCCTCCCTTTTCCACGATCGCCTTCGCCTTTAAGCCAACCTCTGTACCTTCTTTAATTTGTGAACGGAGAACATCCCCACTGGATAAGTGTGTTACGTTGAACGTGTTGACAATCCGTTCAGAAACAGTTCCTTTACCTGATCCAGGTGGGCCCATGATAAGAGCACGTACTGGTTTCGACGACATGTTTGATAAATGAATCTGACGGATCTGCTTGATGGGAGATATGTCTGCACAAATCAAACGAAGACGACGAACAGAATGCATCTTATTTTGTGGAAGGTAATTTTTATGGAGTGAGGAGGGCGGACTGGGAACTAAAAACATTACGCTGACAAGCAAACAGCTGGCTCAGATATTTGCACGTGGGTAATTCAACATGGCGGACGCTGAGCGAAAGAAGAGGTGAGTGATCGCTTTGTTCAAATTTTTGTGTTTAACGATAAAAAATGATAAGAAACAGCACAGTGAAACTGCTGTTATTTCCTACATATTCGCTCGAACATCTCCAATAATAAATTCAAGACTTTTCCTGGTGGTCTTATCCCGGTCTTATCTGTTTTGTGATGACAAAGTAAAAAGTGCATGTAAGCACCCAGGGAATCATTAACTTCATGTAAACTTCTTACCTTCTTGATCAAGACAATTTGCAAATTTTGCAAATTGCTTTGATCAAGTAAGCTTAACATCTAAGGATAGTTGGAATTCATGAGTATAATGGGCCATTCCATTTAATAACCGCCCCCCCCCCCCCCCCCCCCCCCATTGAAAAAGGTGTCAGTAACTGGAGCTGACCGGCTTACGAGTATAGTTCTTGTAAGCGGCCACTAGAGTTGTAAGGGAACGATGGCCGCCTACGGAGGCTTGCCCAGCTTACAGTAAACATTGGGAATGTAGAAAGATCGCCAAATTATTATTATTTTTTTGTTTTAATGTCGCTTGTGCAATGCTGCGATAATGGCGATAACTACCTCTACAGAGTACTGTATACTGTATACTGCAGTATTAGAACTGGCCCTTTTGTGATTAAAGAACACTATAATTGCAGCCAGCAGTAACATAGGCATTAACGATCTCACTGCAACAAAAAGCAGTGATACAGTTTACAAATGTTTTCGAGTATCTTTTAAAGTCAGGACCAATTGCTTTCGGGTGTCCGCTTAAGGGAACTTGAAAACAAAGGAAAAGTCTTGGTCGTTGTCCGCGGCCGCTTACGAGACTCAGTAAAGACAGAGTTCAGTTTTAAGGGACTTCAAACGGGATTTTGAGAAGGCGGTCGTAAGTAAAGCTGTCCGCTTACGAGAGTTTCCTTTAAGAAAGCTTCCGCTGTATTTTATACCATGTTATTATATAAGAAACATTACAATGTTCACAGTTCTAAACATGACGATTTCCACAGTTCTCAGAAAACAAATGACATTTAAACGTATAAACGCGTGTAATTGCCACGCTTGTACGGTAATGTCCATCATTCCTTAAGCATTTCATGTTAGCATCACTGGGAAATCAAGTTAACCGACCACCCACGTTCCGTACCGACATGGTGGCTTTCGCTATCTGGACGGTCTCCCACGAACACTGGAATATGTTTCAGGTACAACTTGTACATAGGTAACTCCACTGCTTGACGGCTGCCGTGCCTTGGGTTATGGTCAACCGCACTATAAGTTGACAATTCCGCAAGAAGTTCAGGTTCCCTCACATTGTCTGGCTGGTTACTGTTATCTACGCCAATGCAATCAGCATTCTGTAATGAAATCGATATAGTGATTGCACGAGCTAAGGTGCGCGTGCTAAGATGTATAACGGTTGTATTTGAATGTATGCTCGCACAAGTTCGAAGACTAAGAGACGGTTATGTGGCGAGTACGGAATGCGCAATGTACTCGTAATACAGGATATATAGGAGACTCACGTTATGTGGTAGCCTGTATGTGTTAGTAGACTTGCCGTGTACAAGTAACTGAACGTTAAGAGTCGAGTAATTAAACCGTTGGCTGTTGGAAAGTTTGAGTGGAAGTTGTTGTTGCTCGCGCGCGTTACAATTCCAAGGTCTAGGAGTAACATCATCCTCTTCTCCTACCGTCGATTCTGCTTCGACAAGCTCAACCCGTTAACTTCTCTCACATAAACCGGAGCTGATTGTCCGTCTTCGACAGACACTGGATCTACATCAACATCTACATCTACATCTGATGCCTCTCTCTCTTCTCTCAGATTTGATAGCTGGGTCTGCCTTTTTGGAATCCATCTCTCCAGTTGGGGTCTCAGGTAAGGCTTTAATCGGTCTGAATGAACGACCTTCGGCTTGGCCTTCTTGCTCTTCTGGATTCGGTACACTGCATCAGACAGCAAGGGTATAACCAGATACCGGGTCTCTCCCAAGGGCAGTCAAGTTTGGCATTTCTCCCTTTCTTTCTCCGAACTTTGTGCAGCCAAACAGAGTCACATGCAATAGTAAGTTGTCTACCAGCAAGCCGTTTATTATAGCTCCGCTTCTAGCGCGTGGCTGCCTTGTTTAAATGTCGTCTAGCCAAATCATGCGCAAAGGCAGGAGCGATAATCGCCTTGGCCAATCTCTTTTGAGCAGCTTGGGCGTAGTTCGTGTTGAGTAGTGGAATGAAGTATATTCTTCCCCCGTGTAATTTCTATAATGTTGAGTAAAGTTGTGCAGATAAAAAATATCAACGGTACCGGTAAAATCTGCGATTGTTTTTTAAACACTATTAACTTCAGCAGATCGCAGAGAACACTTGATGACGAGAGGGGGCTCTGCTTCAAACCATAAAACAGATGTCTGGTTAAAAATCAAAAGTTTTCTTGCTGTTGTGGCAATTTACACAGTTAAACATCATCAATAGCACAATACAACGTTAAACCTTTTTCACGAGTATTACAACTGGGTTACCTTTACACATCTGCTTTTGAGAGCTAATTGCTGCGGAGCGAGCGAGCAGCAACATTGTCAGGATTTAAGAAGAATATATAGGAGGTACGAATTCTCGAATTCATCTCTTGTCCTTTTTCGGGTCGATTCCAGTGAGAAAGGATAGTTGTCATGTTTTGCTCTGATTTGCCTGCATCACGATGTGAAGGAGATCGTGCTTGACTTTCACAACTCTTGGTTTTGTTCTTAATGCAGTATGTGAAAGTTTGTAAATCTGAACGATGAATTTTGACATCTTAATTTTAAACTTAACATGTCATTTCTTAGCAGTCCCGCCTCCTTGGTCGAACTCTTAAATGAAGAGAAATCGTTGTTACTAAAGCTTGTAGAGTAATTAATAACACAAACGAAAACCGTAGAAAACGCTAATTTCATATATGCTGCGATCTATTCCTTTTCATCCAAACATGAATTTAAGCTGAAGGTTTAGTGTTTTCGCACATATCGCGATGGACGCGTCCTCGACACAATCTGTCAACATTCTTGAGACATTTAATGCGTACCAGTACAGCTCGGAATTTATAAGTTAGATTTCTGCTCTTACCATTTCTACATCTTTCGATTTTTCGACAGAATGTGCCGCAGCATTACTATCTTTTAGATACCCTTGTACTTACGGTAAGCTAACGATAAAATTTTGAAAACTGACTTGGTTCTCTGTCACGGCGGGCGCCTTTAGCTTTGACCTACCAACTTCTTCGTTTTTGTAATTTTCCAGATGGCTTCTGTTAGTATTAGTTGAGACTCCACAAGAGTGTTTTGGTTGGATGTTATGGACTGACGCTCCTGTTGCTCCCGATAGCTTTCATCCTTGGTCAGGTGAGTTCATCGATCGAGGAGAGCACATGGAAAATAGCGCATCTTAATTCTTTCATTCGCGCATAACCACAGTTCCTTGCGTCTCTGATCTTACCGCCGACCACAATACCTTGCGTTTTGCTCGAAAAGTGGGCGATCTCCCCTATATTGCAATATTTTTATCGGTTAGATCTGCTGCTTCGTTCGTTCACTTCAGGCTCACAAACTGCGGCAGCTATAAGTTAAAACTAACTCACCCCTTGTGCGTCTCATGTAATTTTTTGGTGATCTCTACCATGTTGCGCCTTCTTTGCTATTACTGTTATTCCCTTAGCTTCATAAGACGGAGTCTTCCGAATAGCTTAGGACGCGCTCTTTAGAAATTACGATAACTTAACGAAAAGGCGATTCTTTTGAGCATTATGAATAACTCAAGGTCGAACATAATATTTCAAAAGAAAAATAAACGCAACAACACGACGTTCCGGCGTCATCTTGTCGCCATTATCAAATGTAGATTAAAAAAGGTTCAGTTCAGATATATACCAACTTAGGGGTTAAGGAGTCAAGAATAATGCGAGAAACAATGTCAGCTAATTGAACACTCTTGGCCCAATAGGGTCCGCTTGTGTGTTTAAGTTTGGTCTTTTTTCTTTGATTAGCAACATCTCGTAAATCAAGCATTCCAGTTTCCCTCTGCACTTCTTTAAGATGTTGAATTGCTTGTGCATATTTGGTTGGTCTTGGTTGTGACTTTCTCGAAGGTGTTTTCCGACAGCTATGTACTTATGCTCATTAACACGTTGAAACAGGTGGCGGCGAGTGTTGACACAAGTTACATTTGAATTCATAAACAACGCATTGCTGATTTACTAGAAATGATTTCTATGATTTCTATGAGATTATTTGTACATATACATTTATTAATCACAGCACAGGGAAACCAGATATTTACACTTGTTGATATAAGATGAAAGACGTGTTTCACGCAACCAATAATCAGCTAAAACTTAGGGCCATGTAGAAAGTGGAGTTAATCATAACAACGAAAAACAAAGCAGAAACTGAATTATAGGGAAGATATTTGTTTACAAACATTGTTTTCGTCATTTAAATGTACAAAACGTTAAACAAAATAATTCTTTGTTTCACCAACCAATAGTTCTCTGGTTAGCATACTAATAACAACAGATGACGTCACTGATATCTTTGCCATACATTGCGAGAATTTACAAGCTTTATTGATATTAAGACGTCTTCTTTTTACTCTGTAAATATCTATATGAGGGCTACTGGTTTTTCAGTGATTACTGTTGTGTGCTACCCTCGAGAAATAATTAATTATTATTATTAGTAGTAGTAGTAGTATTAGTATTAGTATTAATATTAGTATTAGTACTAGTGTTAGTGTTAGTGTTAGTGTTAGTGTTAGTGTTAGTGTTAGTGTTAGTGTTAGTGTTAGTGTTAGTGTTAGTATTAGTATAGGTAATCATACGGTTTTGAGTTCAGTTTGGAATTAATTTGCTCGAGTGAGTTTTTCAAAAAGCTGAACCATATGATTACTTATTAATAATATAAACATGAAAAAAAATTGCGTGGAGGAAATGCCGGAAGACCTTTCTTGAAAACATTTTTTCTCATTCGAGAAAACTTTTTTCAAAGTTTCTGCACTAAATTTTCGTCATCATTTTATGTGATATCATTGGCTTAGAAAAGTTCCTATTGTATTTCAGCCAATCATAATCCAGAATTACCATATGTAATTTGCACTGGTGTTATACGTTTTGCAGTGGTGTTACACTTTTTGTACTGGTGTTACACTTGAACTGTACTATTCTCAGCCAATCAGAATCGAGTAATTTTTTCATGTATATTATCAAACAAAGTACATTGCTATTCAAGTGCTTTTAGCTTACAACGGAACCTCCAGGGAGGCACTGAGGCATTATTGTGTGTGGGCTCACCTCCAGATTGGGTGATCGGCAAGTTCAAGCCCTGGCCAGGGAAATTGTGTTGTTTTCTTGGGTAAG